CAGTACAGCCAGGAAGCCTGACAGCACCCAGGGGGTTTCCAGGTGGAGTGTTTGCTGATTGCCTGCGGTGAAGTGGGGACTGGAATATGTAGTGAGGAAGTATGAGAGTCTCAAAGCTGTCTGACAAAGTGAGGAAGGAGAGGAGTGAATCTTAGCTTTTATATTTGAGACATACCAGTAACTTGAAAAACAAAATCAACTGATAGATCTTTGCTCAGTTTATCACCAACTCCAACATCACGTATTTTCAGTAAGTATATGCACATATCTTAAATGGCAGCCAACTTCACATCTTCTTTTGACAGATATTTCTGGTTCAAAGGGTATTCCCAAGCACAGAAAAAAGTGAACAATTTTAAAACAGGAGGATCTGTTTGCATACCTATAAATACATGAAATAACTGCTTTCACTGATTTAAAGATATACACACACACGCACTAAAATTACAATCTTAAAGTAATTTAAACTATTTTAATTCTGTAAACACCTCGTAAAATTGTAAAGAAATTGAATTATCATTATAGAATCTTTATTTTTTTATTCAAGTTCAAAGATAGTTGATGTCAAATGACAGACACCCAACCTAGTCTGTATCAATTAAAAAAAATATACAAATTTCCAGGCAACAGAATAAATACTTCTGTGGACACTTGAAAAAAATCCTTCTGAATATTTCACCCTTCCTGCTTCTGCATTCTGAGTATCTCTCATGCAATTTTAATATATGCAGTGATGGATATCCTGACAGATGGAAGCTGTATTACAGACATGGAGATAAAATAATCCCTAAGTGAGAAGAACCACTTTGGTCTCAATAACACTTTACTCAGCACTGCAGGTAAAATCAATTTCATTAAATTTTCTAGTTAGCATAAATAATATATTAGCATAAAGATAAGCCTTCTGATTAAACTACTAGTTTGTCAGAGAATCAGACTCTCCTCACCTGGGTAATAATCCAATATAATCTAACAACAATTTCCTGTGCAAGGAAAATGACCTCTTCATGTACTCTCTTTCAAAGCAGAGTTGCAACTCTTGTGGCTAAGGTTTTGTGTTTGTGCCATCTCATCTCTCCTGAACCAAAGGCCAGGTCACAATAAGGTTTTGTTTTTCAGCTTCCCAGCGAGGAGACACCGAGCACCATGAAATATGTTGCATTGCGGGGCTTTTCACAGGCGACCATGGAAACCCAGTTCCAGCTCAGCAATGATTTACAATAACCTAATCCTATAAAATGCTACATCACTCTGGCAATGGTCCTGAAATCCCATTCCTCTGGATATCAGCACTGAGTTAGGAGGTACCGTAACTTGCCAAAGACGGACCATGCTCTTAGGGCATCTTTCCAAGTCCTCTTGCCCTAGTCCTGCTGCAGACTAATTTGTGGCATGTCCCTGAGATGCTTCCAGAGAACTGAGAGGTGCAAAGGACAGAACTGCAAGGCTCAATCCATTTTTTGGCAAATTCAATGGAAAAGACCTTCATGATCTTTATAAAAATAGGATCTGTTTTCTAGAAACCATGAAGGATTTGTGTCTGGTTGACTCTCAAATGCTGGCCTTGTATTTTAAAAGTATTTTTTTGCTATAATTCAACACTTAGCCCTACACCACAGGCTGAAGTCCTAGTCCTTGACCAACACAGCTCTTCCGGATGAGAGGCTGGAAGCACTCGATTTTTATCTAAGCTACTAGCCTTGACCTCCACTATTCTTTGCAAGATGCACTCTGCACTCAATGCAGAAATCCATAAAGATCCTTTCCTATGGAATGGAAGTGCCCAAGGAGAGAATATGAGGGAGAATATATGCAGATGGAAACAATCAGTCTCCTTACTCAGAGGTACCTAAGTTTTTGGAAATTGCAGCAATAAGGGCAAAACAAGACACCACACAGATCAGGATAGATGTGTGCATATATACTCCTGTGTGTGTATTTGAAAATAAATCTCTTCCTTTCAAACTCTTTGTTCAACTACATCATCAAAAAGAAGGTTTAAATACAAGCTTACAGGACAACTAAAGAGGTGAATTTATGAATGTATTCTTAACAAAACACACTCTGGAAAGCTTTAATCTATGAATTGTGACAACCTTGGACAAAATGGATTTTTAATAGAATATAATGTAAACTGCCTGAAACATTGTGATAAGGAATTCTTTTATAAGTAATGCACAGAAAAAGCATGATGCACTCTGCATGAAAGGAGGAAAGGTCTTAATTTAAAGCTTTTTAATGAACACTCAATTTGTGCAGGGAAATGTGAGAAATGGAGATGAAAAACTCATGATAACGATAACACTGCAGAGGGGAGAAGGAGGAAGATTAGAAAAGTAAGCAAATTTGAAAAGGCTCCAGCTGATAACACTGGCTAAAAGGCATGCAGACTGTATTAGAACATGTCACAGTCCAAAGCCACTGTTCTCCTTGCAGGCAATGTCTGTTCATGGCTCTTATCAGAGCTGCACACTGGGGAGGAAGGAGCAACTGAAGCACAAAGCAGTGGAGACCAGATCCCTCTGTGAGCTAAGGGCAAGGAGGATAGTCAGAGGTTTCACCAAATGCAGCTGTGACTTGCTGGACTTTCTCACTTTCATGGAAGCTCCCAGAGCTATGCCAGCCCAGCTGGCTTGCTGGGCTGCCAGGGCTCTCCACCTCTGTGCAAAGCCCAAGGGAGGTTGCAAAACCCTAGCAAACTCAGCCATCTCCTCTACTGCCAGGATAAAGCTGGGCAAGTCAGCAGAACTGAAATCACTTCCAAGAGAGAGAAAAAATGTCTCCCTCAGGCTAGATAAAATTCTGTTTACTAATAGCTTCTGCTCTGCAGTAAGAGAGATTCATCCTGCACTCTCACACATACATAAACTGCCTTTAATGAAGCTCCTGGAATTACTAAAAGGAGGAACAGATGAATCAGGTCTAGTGACAGTTCTGCCACATTGACCTTAACAGATGCAAGTTCAGATCTCTGTTCATTTCAATGAAAAGCAGGACCCCCCAAAACACTTCACATTCTTCAAAAGAAACAAGAGGGCCACCATTATGACCAAAAAGACAAATTAAAGAAAATATCAAAGTTAAATATTTACTTTAAGCGCTACAATATTTGCAAATCTGGAAACGATCTCTCAGCAGTTTCTATTTGCATTCTTTAATTAATCCAAAAATATTAAACTAATCTCACAAAGGAAAGGGTCAAAGTAGTAATTAACTTGAGATTCATTGCTTTTGTGCAATTTAACAGTTCAACACAAAGCAAAAATCAGTTTTAATAAAAACTAAGTTACTGTGACAGGTATAATTTCATGGATTAGTGAAACCACGAACAAGGCAGTAAATTTCAGCATTCATCCTAATTTTTGTCTAACTTTAAAAATAGTTGCTTTGTTTCAATAGAGAGATTCCTCTGTAAGACCAAATGGTTAGTTTTCCTCTAACCTCAGCATTTCACTTTCAAATTGATGGTTTTCCACCATGCTTTGAACAGAACAGAGGTCACAGCTGTTTTAGCAAAAAAACCTGACTGCAACATTCAGCAGAGAGCAGATACTGCACAGCCACCCAGATCACCTGCCTGAGCTAATTCAGGCTGAGATTTCACTGCTGGCACCACCATGTGTCATGGGGCAGCTCCAGAATAAGTGCAACAGTTCCCCCCCGAGCCAGGGTCTGCTGCCTGAGCTCTTCCTCCACCAAAGGGATTCACTGACTTCTTCAACAGCTTTTGGAAGAACTGGGAAATCTAGCTGAAAGACATAGGATTTGGAGACAAAGTATACAGAGCCAAATCCAGCTGCTGAGGCTCTGCTTTATCAGTGCAGTAGCCCATGACACCCCAGCAAAATAATGATGGAATCAGGCTTGAATTTTTTTTTTAATTGGGAAGGAAGTGCATGAAGCAGCTAATGAACTGAAAGGTTTGCCTGTCATTTCATGCCAGAAAGCTCTGGAGCTCTGAGACACTAAGTGGGGAGTCACCTCCCCTCATTTTATGCCTTAACGATGCAAATGTCTGTCCCACTCAGCCACCTCCACACTCTGCACCTTTACTGGAGAGAAAAGAGCCGCTTTGTGCTTGCTATTCATCAGGCTTGTTTTACACAGTCAAGAGGACTGTCCCCTGTTGCTAAAAACCAAACCCATGGGTGAACAGCTGTCACTCTCAACACTTGTATCACTGGTACCCAGAGCTAGATAGGATTCATTTGTTCCTCAAATGCAGCTTCAAAAACTAAACAGAGTAGAAACTCTTTTTGCACTCCAGTTCTCTGGCAATGATCTTCCTAGGTCTAAACAACTGCTTAACAACCATTCTTCTTCCTTCCAGAAGCTTTCAGAAGAAGATGGATGCAAAAGACTCCTCAAATAACAATTTTGACATACAGTTTTGTGATTTCCTAATTATGACACAATTTCAATCTAAATTTATGCACAGCATACTTAAAGTGTAGAGTAACTGCATGATAATGGCAAGTAATTGCTTGTAATGTAAAATATATAATTCTGACTAACAATGTAAATTTCTCATTACCTTTGATATAGCTTGTGGGAGCATTACCAGAGCAAACATACACAGCATTCAGGAGACAGTTCATAGACACTCATAGGTGCCCTGCAGCAATAATGAATGACACTTAATAGCTATTACTTTCATAGCTTTTCAAGTAAAGAAGCGAGAATTGTCCTATATTGCTCTCAATTATTCTTCATATTTCTCTATTTTAAACAATTTCTTTCTGTTGGCTCTTTGGCAACAGGAATTCTGCTGCTGCCCTTAAGGTGCATGAGAAGCAAACCTGAGCCAGGACTAGTTGGCTGCCTCCAGTTTAATTAGATCATCTACTTCCAAAACTCAAAAATTAAACAAAACTCAAAAAGCTCTCACCAATGCTTTTCCAATGAGAAGGAAAAGGAAAAAATACTGCTATTAAAAGAGCAATACAACCCATTAAAGAAGCTATTTTATGTCTTCCACTGCATTTGACAAGAGTTGTTACCTGTTCTCTGCGCTGGGGTCGTTGTGCGCGCAGGTGATGGTGGCAGTGCTCCTCGCGCTGTCCGTCTCCTCCTGAACACCCCACTGGTCTGCATCACTGACTCTGATGTCCAGGATCTTCACACCTGGGGCTGTCCTAATCCTGTTGGGGAACAGCAAGGTTGCCTTAGTTACAGATCTCCTATAAATAAATCCAGAGGAGGTGAACAAGGAAGATGAAAGGAAATATTCCCTTTTCCATTAGTAATAAACTGATACATTGGAACTGTAAGCCACTCTGCTTTAAAAATACAAAACAGGTCCAATCATTTTAAGGAGATGAAGTGTGAGTTTCATTATGAGCAAAGCCAGTTAATTTTCAGCTTGAGCAATGTGAATAGAATAAGAATGTTTTCTGCTTCAGTGGCACCAGTTTGATATAAATGAAACAGATGTGACAAAGCATAAGTTGATTTAATTTGTTCTATCTGTCCTGCAGTGTAAGATGGAGAATGAGAGCACTGTGATAAAAAAAAATACAGCCTCCTCCTTGCAAACTTTTGGGAGCAAGGTGCCTTTTAATGTTTAGACAATCTGGAAATCTGCATGGAAAAAGTGTGCTTCATTGCTCGAAGACCATAATGCAGGAAGGGAATGGAAGGAATATGTTATCCTAAATCCAGAACTGAGGGATGAAAATATTTAAGTTATTGTATTGGGATCTATCAAAGTGGTCATGTCAAACTCTTGCAGCTGAAAATAATATGATGCTGACATTTAAAACCTTGATTTCCTAAGCTTGCGTAAAGCAGTTTGGTAATTGGTAAATGCCACCATCCTTTGGCTTAAAAAAATTTCCTAAAAAGAAATCCATGCTCCAGTGGAGCCCAGTGTTAGGAACAGATTGCAAAGGAACAGGGAACAAACTGCTTTTAATAGCAGGGACTTCATTTGTGCAGCTTGACTCCTGAAACAAGTCTCGGATTTCAACAGGAGTTCTGCAAATATGCCTGGAGAACAATTAGGCAGGATGCAACTGCGGGAGTGCCATGTTCACCACTACTGAGACTTAATTAATTAAATGCAAAGCCAAGAGAGATCTCTTAGTTGTATGATAGAATGAAACAGCACTGCTGAGGCTTGAAGCATTACTTAACAGTGAATTGTAATGGATTTGCCCCAGTGCCTCATGGCCATTGATGATCACATTACACTACTAAGAATTTCCTTTAACTTCTAGCTGAGTTCATGGATTTGGATCAAAGTAGCTTCAAGACTCAATGGGTGATCTTTTCCTCTGAGAAGGAATTGATTCATCCTGCTTTTATAATATAATTTTTGCCTGTAAGGCTTTACTGACTTGATGGGCCAAATCCATGCCTGGCATAACCAAGCTGATGAAAAATGTTACCTTCAAGGGCAGAATTTTACTTGATATTTTTCTAATTGTCTCCTTTGTGGTTTTCCACAGACATATCTCCAAACAACACGCCTCAAATGTTATGAGCCCTTTCCTATCGTCTTCTTTTTTTTTTTTTTTCAGAGGAACATTCATTTATCCTGTAGTAATTACACTGGACTGAATCATTCCTGCAAGACACCTACATGGCTTCATTTCAGACAGACTTGCAATTTACATGAGCTAGAGAATTAGGCCTTCAGCAACAGACTCTTTTTTTTTTTTTTTCTTAAGACTTAGTCAACCACTCCTGAAAAAAATCATTAGGGCCTGACCAAAAAAAAAAAAACCAAAAAAAACCCCCACACAACAATCACCATGACCACTTTTTAAATTTTCTCTTTCCCAGCCAAAATTATATTTTTTAACAAGTCTGCCCCCCCATCACCCCCTCAATTTCTCATGCTTTTTCTTGACAACATGTCTGGTAACCTCTAACCCAACTTCCCACCCAAGTCAAAGCCCTAGTTAATTAATTACTAATTGAAGGGCAGATGACGCTAGGGGGGAAGACAGGTCGAGCAGGGACATGAAAGGACAGCTGGATTTCACCCATGATTTCAGGATTCATCAGCCTTTTTCCATCTGTCAGAAGCTTGCTGTGTCCTCCCACACAGCTTTCGCACTACAGATATCTTCACTCTGCAGCATTTACTTTCATCTACTTGGATTCAAATCTAGCAGGCCAGTTTATCCCAACAAGGATGGAAAGCAACACGGTACAATTCCCTGCCACACCTGAGCAGACATTAACCTTGCAGGACCAGTGTGCAGCTCCCTTCTTTATGGAAGCTGAAGCTGTTGCTTCTCTTGACCTCCATCAGTGGCCCCCACAGACTATAGGGGTAAGAAGAGCCTAAATATCCACATTTATCTCCATGCTTGGCTATTCAAATCTCCCCAAACACTGGCATCCCTCTTGGGCCAACCATTCAGTCATGTCTGCCTCCCTCAGCTGGGGAGCTTTGCTGGTTCCTGTCTCATCTCTGAATACAGCTGCAAGATGCTTTCTGCCTGTCTGGACAGCAGATGAAACTTTCCCGATGCTGGTCCTGTTGGCTCACCACTTGGCTCCTCCTTCAGGGCACTGTCCCTTAACAGGTCTTCTGGGTTTTGGCAGTGCTGTCTTGTTGACTGTGCCTACAGCTTTCACTTGCTGCATAGCTACTGTCTTGCTGGGTTAGCATCAAGTGAACATCGCACACTCCACTCCCCTGCTACATTTTCCAAAAATGTCTCAGAACGCTGCATTTTAGGAAAATTTCCAGTCTAATCCTCTGCAATGCATCTGCTCTAGTGGGCTGAGACAAGATGTCATTTTGCATTTTTGGATATCAGTAGAGCCAGGAAGGTTGAAAGAAGGAAGAAACTGAATTCAGTTTCTCACTTAGGAAAAGTCAAGAAATTCAAATTAAAGCAGCCTACATATGGGTGGTTTGAGCCTGCTATTCTTCAGATAAGTGATTCATATCTTCAAATCTGCCCTCAAACTCCATAGGCTCAAAAATAGTTCTAAGTGTTGGGGACTGAGGCTTTGAAAAAAGAATAAGAAACTCCTACCAGAGCTGACATGAACTGGAGAAAGGATAGTGAATGGCTCCTGCACAAGCCCAAGCACTGGATTTATTGCCCTTCTCTGTGCCAGGCTTCAATTATAAGCTTGGGTGGATCATTTAGTTTTCTTATACCTCTCTTCCCCACAAAGAAAATGCTAGGAAGTGCAGTTCTTCCAACTCCAAGGGAGCTGTAAGGATAAATAGAATTGCTTGAGAAAAATCTGATGTCCTTTACATTTACTACCTGCCAAAAAGTCTGCCATCTCCGGGCTGGAAAGCATGGAAATGATCTACTGGAGTATTTCACAGAAGCATGACCAAAGAAGTAACTGTTACCACTAAGATGGCTTAATTCCTTTTTTATAAAGATAAATGTAAATTGAACAAAATAAAAAAGAGAACAAAGAAATAAAACCTGGGAGCCAAATGGAGATTTGGTAAAACTGACAATTAATTTCAATTAAATCCTTGCTTTCTGAAAAGCAGAATTTTCAGACATCAAACTGTCTTGTTAAAAAGCACTTTCTCACGTTTAAAGCGTTACAACTTCTGTGGCATTTTGATAATGCAATTAGCAGAGCTGTAAATGAGGCAGAGGGACACTGAGTGAGCTCACCAGACCTTAGCCTGCAACAGGACCCCCACGTTCCAGCCTCTATCCACAATGGAGTGATTACCATTGATTCACGATACTCTCT